CACTGTGTACAATATGTTATACGTTAATATAAACAATCTGGTTCATACCCCAGCCAATAGATGTTTCACATCAAAATTAACACTTCTAAAATAAAGTCTCACTCTAATTACTATTTTTTTTTTTTTAGAAAAGCATGTTAGTCTACAATGTTTGAAATGTGAATTAGAGAATAAGAAGCTGTTACTATGGGAAAAACATCCTTGAGCATTGTACTGAGAGATATAGGATTTAAATATAAAAAGAATGACAATCAAAGTTCATTATTCAAACGAACCAATATTGCCGCTTTAAGAGCAAAATTCTTTCGTAAGTACTTTTTGAAAACCTGGAAAGTGTGCATCCACGAGAACCTATTTTTTTGGATGAAACATGCATTTATTCAAAAGGAAATAAAACTACTTTCTGTGAGGACACTAGTAACAAAAGTGTACGTAAACCAGAAGGTTTTAATGGTAAACGTTCCATAATTGTTCACGCTGGTTCTTCTAAAGGATTTGTTTCTGAAGCAAGTTCATTGTTTTGTTCTAAGTCTAAACATATTGATTACTAGACTTCGGCAAATATGCATATTGCCTATTTTGCATATTGTGCATATTTTATGCAAATATTTCATATTTTGGCATATTTGTATAAAAGTTTGCATAAAGTGCATAAGAGTTCAGATTTTTATACTGTATTTGAAAATTTTTAAACATACCAATTTATTTCAATTCTTGTATAAAATTTTGTAGTCATTTTAATTAAGAAATGATCTAAGTACGTAATCTCTACAGGTACAAAACATTTACAATTTCAAAGAAGATCAATTTAAGTAGCCCTCAACATTCTTAGCAAGTCTCGGTCACTGAGACATTCAGTTATTGGGTAATCGCTAAGGGTTCGCTCATTTGCATTTTCTGATCTAATCCCCAAATCTATCTACAATTTATTGTATCTTAACAGCAGGTAAACGGCTAATAGTTTTGTTCCTAATTTAGGGATTTTCCAAAATCTCCCAGTTTATTGAATTAGGTACCTAAACATTTCTAATTTGATGCTCAGATTTGTAAATCATTTTTGTTTTGATATTCAAAGCGTAAACACTCGTTGTGCGTAACAAAAAGGAAGATTGTGATTTTATAATGCCTAAAACAACCAGTGCTTCAACTGGATTAAACCTTATAAAGAGCTGTCTATGGATATGGGAAAAATCTACTGTTCAGTCTGTGACAAAATTGTAAGTATCTAATATTTTCTATTAAATATATAATATTTCATACATACAGGGTGTTTTCAAATGACACTTACAACGTTTGACTGTAGATACTTCTCGAAAAATTGAGCAAAAAGATATAGTTAATAAGGGGACAAACTTATTTACTTTTCGAGATACAGGGTGTTAAAATTAAAAAAAATTAAATTCTTTTAGTTAATAACAAATAATAACATATAACAATAATAACAAATATTTACTTGAAATTTAGTACTCGTAGGTTGTTTTTAAATGAAAAATAGCTTCCTTAAGTGAGAAAAAATTCTCCATGGTACAATACAATGGTTTGTATTTAGAAAAATTTTTCACCTTTACTTTTTTTATGAAGTCAGCTATTCTAAAACAAAATTATTTTTATTGTAATTGAATTAACAAAGAAAAAACTTTTGTTTAATTTTAAAATAAGTTATATGATGTACTAATAACAAAAACTAATTTGTGGATGAATACTGCATTCAAAACACTTAGCGAGTGTTTTTTTTAAACCAGTTATTTGATTAACCAAAAACACCTTGTATATTTTTATATTCTAAAGGTTGGGTTAAAATAAAGGTTTGTATTTTTATTTATAGATAGCATGTGAGAAGAAATTTCAGATAGACCAACATGTGAGAACTGCTTCACACATTGCAAAAAAAGGAAAAATAGGAGGAAAACATCAAACTTCAATGGCTAAATGTTTCCAATCTACTTCAAAAAAATTAGATGAGCAAGAAACTTTTAATGAAGACTTGTGTCGCGCATTAGTGTCTGCAAACATACCGCTTTCAAAATTAGCAAATGTAAATTTTAGTTCGTTTCTAAAAAAATATTGCAAACTTAATGTTCCAAGTGATCGGTCTCTAAGAAGAAATAATGTGAACGGGCTATACTCGTCGGTGTTAATTAATATTAAGGAAGAAATTGCAGATAATTATTTTTACATATCTGTAGACGAAACTACTGATTCCTCAGGAAAGTATATTGCTCATTTATTGATTGGTGTTTTTAAAGAAGATACCTTACCAAAATCTCATCTTATTTCATGCCAGCAACTTGAGAAAACAAATGCTTTAACAATTTCGCGTTTTATACAAGAAACATTAGCAACTTTTTTTCTTTCGACAACTATTCCTTCTAATAAATTACTGCTTATTTTATTGGATGCTGCTCCTTATATGTTGAAAGCAGGACAAAATTTAAAAATATTTTTTCCAGATTTAATACATGTTACTTGTGTAGCGCATGGATTAAACAGAGTTACAGAGGAAATACGAAAAAAGTTTCCTCTTGTAAATATCATGATATCCAGTGTCAAAAAAGTATTTCTTAAATCTCCTATAAGAATTCAACTTTATAAAGAAATGCTACCTAATATTCCTCTTCCACCACAACCTATTTTAACGCGATGGGGAACATGGTTAGAAGCAGCTAATTTTTATGCAGATCATTTTGTTAAAATAAAGAACATAATTGATACGTTAACAGATGAAAGTTCCCAATCTCTTTTGGATTCTAAACAAACTTTTCAGAGTAACTTGCTTCAACAAGAATTTTCATTTATAAAATCAAATTTTAGTTTTGTTCAAAAAACAATTACTCAGTTAGAATCACCAAAACTGTCACTGTTCGAAAGTACAGCATTAATAAAAGAATTTGCGTCATGTTGTCGGAACGTTAGAGGTAATATTGGAAAAGATATTTTAAAACAATTTGAAGCTACTATGGAAAAAAATAAAGGTTACCATATTCTTTTTGAAGTAGTCAGTGTTCTAGCTGGAAATATTTCGGAAACAATTAATTTAGAACCAAATGTTTTGGTTAGTTTGAAAAATGCTCCCGTTACATCAGTTGAAGTTGAACGAAGTTTTTCCATATATAAATATATGTAGTCAGACAGAGTTTTTGTTAGAACATTTTGAACACCACTTGGTCATTTATTGTTACCATAATTCTAAATAAGTTTATTCATACTTCAAAAAGATGTAGTTACTTAAAATAAATGTAAATCTTAATGAATAGTAGGAAATATTTAGTTATGTACACTTTTTTTTTAAATAAAATTGTTACTATTTTACGATTTTTTTATTTGTATGCATATTTTGTAAAATATTTGCATATTTTCGGGTAAACACGTGCATATTTATGCACATATTTTCTACATTTTTATTGGCATATTTGCCGAAGTCTATTGATTACTATTCAGAAATGAACAACGACATTTTTACTAAGTGGATAATGACACAAGTAGTTTCCAATTTAGAAGAACCATCGTTGATTGTAATTGATAATGCTCCATATCATAATGTTCTTTTAGAAAAGCAACCTACCACTGCTTCAAAGAAAAATGAAATTGTTACCTTACTGACAACAAATAACATCCAGTTTGACCCAAAATTTACAAAACCTGAATTACTACAGGTTGCAAAAATGAATAAAATATAAAATGTGTATGTTATTGATTAGTTACTAAGCGAGCATGGCCACGAAGTGTTAAGACTATCTCCATATCATTGCGAATTCAACGCTATTGAATTTATTTGGGCAAATTGCAAGTCATATTACAATAAGCATATTGGTAGGGACGGCTATTCTGATAGTTATAAATATATGGAAATAGGCTCTTAATCAATGTAATGGAGACATTTGGGAAAAATGTGTAAGACATACTCATAAAATTATTCAAAAGTGGTATGTCCGAAAGCAAAATATAGTTCATATTGATATTCAACCCAATAAAATATATCCTGGAGACAGCTCGGATTCTGAAAGTGAAAGAAATATATAATTTTGATATTTTGTTTTTTTTTTTCAATTTATATTAATAATTTTTCTAGTTATATTTGTAGAAATAGGTTGTAATAAAGTAATTGATCCATTCTTTAGGCTAAAACAATGAAACCTTTTACACATAACTTTTCACACTTTATTTTGGAAACTACACTACACGAGAAGTTTGATACACAAATAAAAAAATATTGATAAAAACCAGCTAGTGTGAAAAATAAATACATACCAAGTCTCTAGGTATGCGACATAAGGATCGTATTATTTTAGCTTAACAGATTGAGCACTAATTTGTAACACCCTTTAAGTTTTCTACAAATTAAAGTATTTTCGAAAATTTTCATTTTCAACTATTTTTATTGTTTTGTTTTGTTTTGTAACGTTTAGATATTTTTTTGTGTTAGTAACTTAGTTCAAAAAGCATGCACAAGGGATTTTTATCTTTTAGGGCATTTTCTTATGCCTAAATTCAAAAATTGAATGTCATATGTATACGATGTAAATGTTTAAAATTGTATTTTGAATGAAAACTTTTTTTTCGACCAGTAACTGGCTTCGGCTGTTGGATGCTTTGGTGTATAAACAAATAAATATGAGAATTTAAGCTATTTGACCTTGGATCCATCTTGCTCGACTACAGTATTTCAAATGGTGCATTTCTTCCAATAATCATAATAACGTGAATATGTAGAAAACTCAAAACTACGTTTAAAACAATTTTATAATGAGGTTTTAACATCCAGTACAGTAAATAAACAAAAACAATCACTATAAATACGTTTAAAGGGATATTAAACATTTCCTAATTATTGATTGAATTTAGAAAAGACTTACGTTTGATGTAAAAGCTTCGATTTAATTCGTACAATTATGATGTGCATAGATACAGCGAACGGAGAGTATACTAGGAAATGACATTTTCATTATAAACATCAAAAACAAATTTATTTTAAAATTTTTATTCGTAACGACTATTTGACAGAAAGTTCTTGTTCCCGTAAACCATAAAACCAAAAATACTATTAAAGTTACCCTTTACTTGTCAGTCTGTATTTCCATAGAAATAGATAATCGAGTTTGATCAATATATCAGTTACAAATAGTAAACATTAAAAATGTTTTGGGGCACAACTCCAGCACTCGATATTTTGGAAGAATACGAATTAATAAAAAACAATATTCCAGAAACAATAAATATTCTTATTGTTGGCGGAGTTGATTGTAGACATGTACTAAAAACAGAAGCTTGTAAGTACAGACACAAAAATGTAAAAATAAATTTTATTTTAGTAGAAGCATGCCTAGAAGTAATTGCAAGACAGATGTTACTATTAAGTATAGCTCTACAACCACAGCAAATTATTGGGTTATCTCAGAAAACTAAAATATTTATGGAAATATATGGAAATACTTTGATTAGACCTTCTGTAGCTAAGTTTTTGCAAACAACAGCAACAGATTTGTTAAAAATGATAACTAACTACGATTATTTAAAAACACTGATGGAATTTCTTTCTCTTAATGTTAAATATAAAGAGAGGGACTACTTAGAGACTTTACTAAAGTTCTGGAGCTCCAAAGACGAGTTCGACATTTGCCTCTCTTGGGATAGACGACTTAGGAGAACTTTAGGAGTACGGTATGATTCTAAAATTGGAGCATTTGATTGGGATTTGCATATGAGACTTCATGATGTTGGTGCAAAACAGATCTGCAATCAAGAATATAGAAATTTTAGAGCCAACGGTGTATCGTTTTCTTGGTTGGAGTCAGAAGTCTCGAAGCCAAATAGATCGTTAGTCTGTGTAGTGGTGCCGAATGGTGCAAATTTTGTACATCACGGATATTTAGGTAAGCAAAAATTCATTTATGAAATTTGTTTGTTGGTATGTTGGTAATTATTGTGTTCCGCATAAAGTTGGTTGATCAAAACAGTTATAATGATGTTTTAGTAGTCCACTATTCATTTTTTATTTTATATATCTGTATCTCGGAGAAAAAATGCACTATGTTACAAAATTAAAACTTTTCAGTACTCTTGTTTAAGGTTGTTTTTTCAAATTTATTTGCTTATAGAGAGTATGTTTTTAGAAATATCCAAACATAACTTTGTACATATAAACTTGGGACTATTTACTTCTAAAATAATATAATTATAATTTTTTTTTAATTAAATTTTATTCAAAAAGATTATATTTTTGATGAGTATAATTTCCAGTAATAGTAGGAATGATAGATATTAATGATAAGGCACTAAGCTTTGTGACAATGTATAAAATACTATATTTATTAGCCTAACAAATAGCTAGAATAATGATTATTATGGATAACTAATAAGAAAAGGGTAGGGCTATTGTCCAATATTTTCATTGTCTTCAGCACTTGGATAGTCTCCTGTGAGTTTGAATACCTTAAAGTTTTGTAAAATGTAAGACATACGGTTGGTATAAATGTAAGTCATACTTTTGTTTGTATATGTTGCTTCAAAATCGTACCAAGTCCATTACAAGTTTCTTACGTGTAAATGAAAGACATTGTGAGATAATAACACTTGCCTTATCATAATCTACTTTTCTGGAAAGAAAATAGGCATCCTTAAAAACAAACAGATCATCAAGTGTCCGCTTTCATGTGTGTATGGCCTTTTTAAAAATCTTTGAATAATTTCTCTGATCTGAGGGTATTTATGAATAATCCAAAAAGCACATTATGACAGATGTCATTTTGTTTTGGCTGTAACAATTATCGGTCCACAGTGTAGTTTTCTCAATATCTGATTAAGGGATATTATTCTCAGCTTATTTTATTAAAACAGAAGCGACCTCATTTCCTCCCATATCTCCTTTTGTTTCATGCCATATCACGCAGTGGGCTGACCAATTAAAAGAATCGTGAATTGTAAAATTATGGGTCCATAACTTTTTTTGCAAAAATTGAGGCCAGTTGGAAGCAGAGATATTGACAAACATCTTTGCAGGTCTTTTGTCAAAACCCACTCGGAAACTAAGTTCCTGTAGCTACCTGTATACGATATATCACAAAATATTATATACCATAATATATACCATATTTCAAGGATTTGAAATAAAAATTTCTTGTCAAAACCTTACGACAATTAGTCTTATCTTTTCAAGCCTTAATATGTGATTTTTTCAGGTCATACCTGTTTTTAATTCGGCAAGATAGTTGTTATATTCGTACTGAATAAGGTCTTTATCTGTTTGATGTAAGTCAAGTTTTAGTTGGACCGAAAGCGTGTCGCAACCATCTCATGTGTCAAATTCGGAAGCCTTAAATGACAAATTAAAATATTTATTAAAGAGATATTATTATATTAAGGATAATACTAACTTTTAGCCCCATACTTATCATAAACATTGTTTTCTTTGCAGTGATCCAAATACAGTTCGTACGTATTTTCAATGCAAAGCTCTCTAGCACTTTTTTCTCTGCTATAGTGGTTAGTGTTTCTTCCTCTCTTGTATTGCTTAACTATTTTACCAGTCTCAGTTTTGATTAAAGCATTGATAGCTACTTTAGATTTAAAATTGATAATGTATTTTTAAATATTATTTTACATACTCCAACTTGCCTTAAGTTTACAGTAAAGGGATACAACAAAGTATTTTGTTTACGTTTAGTACCATGATCATTTTTCCTATGACGTGCGATACACTGTATAAGTATACAAGAACGCACAAACTGCCTTGTGACATAAGGATTACTGTTCTTAGTATAAAAGGAATTCTAAATTTGCATTCTGTCATTATTTGTAATTTTTCAGAGCATATTGGCCTACAATGACATGCCGGCTTCATCGTGTTGGCTTAAACAACCATGGCTATTTTGTTTGTTTTCTTTATCCCGGTAGGATACTTTTAGTAAGAATTTATTTTTCACCTATCTCATATTATTATTTTATGGTGTTGTGTTTCCAGTAGAAAGTAGCAAATTTGTTTCTTCATTTAACGTCAATATAGTTTGTCATATCATTATTGCTGCTGTCGCTAGTTAGGTATAAGTCACACTGAAGTAGGTCTATGTCGAGTATAGTTCCATTTTGTTGTTTGTTATCTAGTAAGCCAATTGGTTTTTCACTAACCTTTGCTTTTGTTAACTCATGCCTAATCCTATCCTTGTTCGTCTCATGCTTAACATCTGAGACAGAATATTCGCCTTTATTTGGAAAGATACTCTTTATCGGCATCCGAGTCATATGCTTCACCGACACTTGCAATTAATTTTGCACCTGCATGTGCAACTAGAAGAAAAAAAGTATCAATACTATGTACTAAGACATTAAAAAGGCTAGTTAGTTGTCTGGTAAAAGAATTTAAAATTTATACAGGAACGGCATACTTAAAATACTAAAATAGGCCAAAAAATGTTGTTTACATCAGTTTCTGGTAACTCTTACCTTTATTTTTTTCGTCTTTAAGAAATAGTAATTATATTGTAATTTCTTGCGGTTTACTTTTAGCTTATTACTTTTAGTTTCATATATGGATTGCTGTGCATTTTATTGTAAACTATCCATTTTTGCACCTCTTCTGGAGACTGGAGACCTCCTAGACTTTCATATATGGTGGTAGGCATTTCTTTTTTTTTTAAGCAGTCTGGTATAAATTGGTCCTACTGCAGTCAGTTGGCTTATTTTACATCTTCAACGTAGATTTGAAAATAGCAGAGATCTGAAAGAATCGTTTAACATATTTGGCCAGCCTGGAACTAATGTGGTCTATGAAGCAAAAAGTAAGGATAAGAAAAACCTACCGGTTTTAAGCAAAAACCGGTTTTTTTACTTCGAAATAACCGGTTTTATCGGTTGTTTTTTTTGTTCCGGTTATAAACGGTTTTTTATTTTTAAAGTAAAAATCAGTTATTAGGTTTTTACTGTGATTAGGATTAGATTGGGTATTATTTTGGATCCCACCCAATTATAATTATTATTCTCAAGTAATTATTCCAAACAAAACTAAAATTCAATTTTTATTTTATTTTATAAATACAGAAGCAAACTGAAAGTACAAGCTCACATCAGCCAGAAACAATTAAATTTTATTATAGTATTTCGTTGAAAAAGTATTTGTAATCATAATATTTTTACATAAAAAGTGATCTGGTATTTATACATCATCTATTTTTCACACTTGACTCTTGACATTGAAAGTGGGTGAATGGCTTTTTCTGATTACCAAAAATAATGACTATGAATATCGAATTACCGATTACGAATACGAATCTCCAAGGATTTCCCTACGTTTTTAAAACGATTTATACCCATACCGCAAGTCGTAAATGAGTTAAAATTAATACATGATAAATTTTTTTTGATGGTAGTAAAAATAAAAGATGAATTGCATTATCCAATTTATTTCTAAGTAAAATATTTATGTTGATATTTTTTTCTTTAAATCCCATTTGAAACAATCTGGGAAATTTTTGTTGGGGAATTTTTTTCTCACAAAACACAAAAAATTGTGATGTATTTACATTAATATTGATGTTCTTTCGATAGTACTAATTTTGATCATATTGATATCGAGTCGAATGTAGTATCGCAAACTAAAGTGCATTGTAAATGTAACTTTCTAATCTATTGGATTAAAAAAAAACCGAAAACCGGTTTTTGAAAAAACCGGTTTTTTTGGCCGGTTATACTGCCAGGTTAAACCGTAAGCAAAAAAAAAACCGGTATAACCTAAAATCGGTGTTTTGTCAAAAACCGCCATCCCTAGAAAAAAGTAATATCTATTACTAGAGATTGTAAAAATCAATGTCAAATAGGAAATAAAACATTTTATTGATAATGATTTTATTATTAATTTGTTTTTTAACAAAATTGTAACTAATACCACTATATAATTTTAATTTTTTTAATCTTCATTTCGTTAGCTACCACGAAATGCTGGTAGCACATCCAACTTGTTGTCTACCTCGCCTCTTCAGTTGTGCTAAGGTACAGACATGTAAAAGGGATAATGAATTGATGTGATGTGAGGGGATGTGAGTTTTGATGTATTTTTTCCATTTCATTTACCAGTAACGGTAAATGATATGAGGTTATGTTTTCTGCAGTTTAAAATTAGATCAATCCATTCGTCTTGTGTGTAGATGTTACTTCGTTTTTTATGAGCTCGACTGATAAAATAAAAGTCACAATCATTTAATAAATACGTATGACCTGTAACGAGATAATACACATACATTTTGTGAATAATCGACAGAACATTTACCATGTACATCATAAAAAAGACCAGACTTCAGTTGCGATTTTAACCACCGCAACAAACAGTCATTGAAAAGTATTAATTTTGTAGTAGACATGGAAATATTGTTTTTAAAATACTAGTACAAACAACGGGTTACTTCCTGGGAGCCCCTAGCACCTTTAGTTTTATACCACAAAATCATGGATACTTTTTCTCCATCATGTTGATAGGAATGTATTCCAAAATTAAAAACGCACAGTCGTCTTAAATAGTACACCTTTCCTGTATTTAGATAGGCCAATAAAAACTTCCGTTCTAAATCGAAAGTTACTAATACACGCTTACTTTCGAGCTATAGGCATTCTAGCAGCGATGTGAATGTGCTCTTTCTTTTTCTCTGTAATTTCTAAGCATTTTGCCTCATCATTTTCAGAATTTATATATTGAAATCCTATAATCACAAAATTTGCGTATGTCCGTTTTGGGATATAGACATTTATGTTAAATTCTGTTCTAAAAAATTTTTCGTATAAACATTTTTTCAATATCAGTTTTTTTTTTTTCATCATCAAATTTATTTTTGAATAAAGTATACATCTTTGTTACAGTCACTAGAGGTTCTAAATACAATCGACTTGAAACCCTATCTTCTTATTGGCTTAGGTATCTAGAAAAACTTCTAATGTGTTCCCTTATCTATTCTAATTCTCCTCTGAGAACTTGTTCCCTGAAACCTTCCTTCCTCTCTGATCTAGAGATGGAAGAGTGCTACCATCGCGATTTTTAATCCTTAATAATCCGGTCAAGTTAGCATCAAAAATAGGGGTAAGGTTACATTAATTCGCACCTTCCTAAAAATTGGCACGGTTGTTGGGAACCCTATTATACACAATTTGTCAATTATCCACATCAATCCGGAGTGTGGAAAAAAATTTATTCAAGGTCAAATGTTGCAAAAATCGGTTTTTTGAGTTTTTTAGCTAAACGGTAAGTTTTATAATAAAAATAGGTAAGACAAAAATGATTCATCATGCAATTATCTTATTATATTATCTATAAAAATTGTTCCTACACATTTTTTCCTAAGAATCACCATTTCGAAGATACAGCGATGCAAAATGTTGAAAAAGTTGTATTCTTCATAATATGCACACGTTTCCGCGCCACCCGTGAGTTAGTGTACATGGCGCGTTTTTTTTTACGTGGTTTCCCCGGTAGGCCTATTCCACGATCTATTGTGCTTCTGTTAAGTTAAAAAGCTATTATATTAAATTGAAAATGGTACTATTGTAAATAACAAGAGCGGTGTAAGTAATGTGTAAATTAAGAAAATTATTCGTCTGATAGATACTCTTCTAATGGAACATAATCCAGACTGTCTTGCTCTTCTTCTTCTTTTTCTTCTTGCTGGGTACAAATAAATTGTTCAAAGAGCGATGCATCAGATGTCTCCCCGTCTATATCGTAAGAATCCTCTTCTACTGGCGATTCAACATTGGAGCACGATTGGCCTCGACAACTGAGACATGCTAACGAACAAAACAAACCAACTTTTTTACAGCCGGATTTAGCATTACATCCCTTTTTACAATTGCAAAAAATTGAATTGAGGAGTTTTTCTGGTGCAGGAGGGAGTAAAGTCTGAACTGGTTCCAATATATTGTCAATTAACTTCCAACCCCAGTCTTCTGGGTTTAGTTTATTACCAAGCCATACTTGAACTTGATAATATACCCGAAATAGATGTTGATGAGCAGAAGCAGAGGTTGGAGGAAGACAAGCTAATTGTACTTGTTTCTTTTTATATGTTTTTTTTGCAAAAGATAAGTATCGAAACTTACCTAAGCATGTATTTTTTTTTTTGGAGCTCCGTACATTGAAAGAAGAAAGCGAATTCCGTTGGTCATTACATCTTGTGAAGTAGGGGTACTTTCTTTGAAAACTTCAGCACAATCAAGTAAATCCTGTCTCTCAAACAATTTCAAAACTGATCTTTTACCTCTCCTAAAAAATGCTGATGTCGTGTCTCAACCAGTTACTGCATGTAGAAATAAGATATGATTTTGGCATTTTGAAAAAGCAGATAAACTCTTGGATGAATATATTTTTGATTGTTGTTGAGTCTTCCCAGGTTTCAAAAAATAAATAATTTTTTCAGTTGGTGTTCGAGCAGTAAGTAATACCAACAAATCAACATCTTCACCAACAAGAATAGTTGGATTTGTCGAGTTAAAATGTTCTATTGTTGTTTCAACTATCAGGACATCAGCATCATTATCAGCTTGCTTTACAGAGATATTCTCAGACGTAAATTTTTCTTTCAACATTGAAATAAATAGTTGAATAAATAAATAGACAGATGTTGCTCAAGGCTGTACGGTCATATAAAATGAGGGACTGGTTCTTTTTCGAGTTTATATTTTTATAACTATATAATATGTATGTATACGATACGAAAATAAATATTTTTACTTATATTATCGCTCTGTAAAGTATATTACGGTAATTGACATGCATATTATGAAGAATACAACTTTTTCAACATTTTGCATCGCTGTATCTTCGAAAGGTGATTCTTAGGAAAAAATGTGTGGGAACAATTTTTATAGATAATTGCATGATGAATCATTTTTGTCTTACCTATTTTTATTATAAAACTTACCGTTTAGCTGAAAAACTCAAAAAACCGATTTTTTCAACATTTGACCTTGAATAAATTTTTTTCCACACTCCGGATTGATGTGGATAATTGACAAATTGTGTATAATAGGGTTCCCAACGATCATGCCAATTTTTAGGAAGGTGCGAATTAATGTAACCTTCAATGTCTATTTTGACCGGAGTATAAGGTGTAGTTCAAGCAATAAGTGCTTATTTGCAACACTCGCAGTAAAAAACTCTAACAAACCTTTTGGCTATTTAACGTAAATTGTTTAGTACATAATTTGCGACTAGCTGGTTAATGCCTGGGTCGTTTACGTGATCTTTTTGGTACTATTATTTTTACAGTGCTGCTTAACCAAGCTGTTTATCTCAGTATTTTAACTCATACAATCTTTTATGATTTTTTTGTGGATGTCATCAGGTACCTTCTCATTACATTGCGTTTAAAATATCACAAAATTGCACCTAATATTTTTGCACTCTTCACCAGCATCTCAGTTTGCTTTTCTTGTATGTTTTCCCTACCTTCTTTTATTTCTTAACTTATTTCCTTCGCGTTTTGTAACGTCTTAAACTACATCTTTATCATCATTATCTTCTCTAAGAGTTTTAATATTTGGCACTTTTAATACAGGCATAAGACTCTGCAATAAAAAAACCAATACAATTTTCAGACATTACATAATATATTTTTGTAAAATATTCAGAAAAGCGAAACGTTTATAAATTAGCCAACCGCGTATTTTATAATTTACTCATCCATAACTGCATCGTCGTCCAAGCCGGAAATGTCTGATAGATCATCGTTATCGTCACTAGATCCAGAAAAAGACTTGCAATGCAGTAGACATAATTCTACGCGTACGAGATGTTCCAAAATTATAATTTTTAGCCATTTATTAAGTATAAAATTTACTTTGAACTAATAACGTCAAGAAATCAACAAACAGTCGCACAGTATCTACCGCTCTTTCTCACAGTTCGCTTACGAATCAGCAGATTACAATGTTTTCATTACAGTAATGTTTGTCATTCAAAGAAGATTGCTGCTTAGACTACTATAGAATACAAATTTTAACTAAAGTGGTTTATTAATTACTATTAAACTGGGAATAAGCCACAATTAAAGATAAAAATACGTTTATTGACGTTTCAATTTCCACTTCGGAAATCGTTCTCAAAATACAAACAGTAAATTAAACAAATTTTGTTTTTTGTTACATAGTAGGGATGGCGGTTTTTGACAAAACACCGGTTTTCGGTTATACCGTTTTTTTTGCTTACGGTTTAACCTGGCAGTTATAACCGGCCAAAAAACCGGTTTTTCCAAAAACTGGTTTTCGGTTTTTTTAATTCAATAGATTAGAAAGTTATATTTACAATGCACTTAAGTTTGCGATACTACATTAGACTCGATATCAATATGATCAAAATTAGTACTATCGAAAGAACATCAATATCAATGTAAATACAACACAATTTTTTGTGTTTTGTGAGAAAAAAATTCCCCAATAAAAATTTCCCAGACTTTTCAACATAAATATTTTACTTAAAAATAAATTGGATAATGCAATTTATCTTTTATTTTTACTACTATCAAAAAAAATATCATGTATTACTTTTAACTCATTTACGACTTCCGGTATGGGTATAAATCGTTTTAAAAACGTAGGGAAATCCTTGGAGATTCGTATTCGTAATCGGTAATTCGATATTCATAGTCATTTTTAGTAATCAGAAAAAGCCATTCACCCACTTTCAATGTCAAGAGTCAAGTGTGAAAAATAGATGATGTATAAATACCAGATCAGTTGTTATGTAAAAATATTATGATTACAAATACTTTTTCAACGAAATAATATAATAAAATTGTTTCTGGCTGATGTGAGCTTGCACTTTCAGTTTGCTTGTGTATTTATAAAATAAAATAAAAATTGAATTTTAGTTTTGTTTGAAATAATTACTTGAGAATAATAATTATGATTGGGTGGGATCCAAAATAATACCTAACCTAATCCTAATCACTGTGTAAAAACCTAATACCCGGTTTTTACTTTAAAAATTTACGGTTATAACTGGGACAAAAAAACAACCGAAAAAAACCGGTTATATCGAAGTAAAAAAACCGGTTTTCGGTTAAAACAGGTAGGTTTTTCCCATCCCTATTACATAGTGAAAAATTCTTCTAATAATTTAATTTTATCTGACTCATTTATATTGACAATTCAGACATACATTATGCATTTTAAAGTAGACGACTTTAAAATGATATTGCCAATATTGTTGAGTTATCTTAATATTATTGATAATAATATTATCAATATTATCTTTAATTGTGGCTTATTCCCAGTTTAATAGTAATTAATTTACAATGCCACAAGAAAATAGCTTCAGAACAATATAAAGTGGTTTATGTGACACATCGTTACTTAGGCCACTTTTGAATGATTTCAATATTATTTTTTCTGACAAAGATAAAATGAGATTTTCGTTTGTCCTTAATTTTAAATCAATATGTAACATGGACCATTTTAGAATATATAGATTTTGGCTTCTAATATCTAAATTTGATGTCAACTAAATTTTAATTAAAATGTAACATGAACCACTCTAGTTCCAGGCTAGCCATATAATATTTATCTGTTTAGAATAGCAGTTTCGAAAATACCGGCAACCTTTATGATTGCCAACCTTTGAAAACTAAACGGCATTTAAAGATGGCATCTATTATACGTCATTAATTACCTACTTCTTTCCAATACTTAAGAATTTCTCTGCCTTTTTATTTTATGGTTTACATTGATCATTAACATTACTAGCAATTACATCATTAAAATGAGGGCAATTTCTAATTAAATTACCCTGGTATGTAATTTCATAATAATAAATAAATATAATTATCTTGTTTTATTTTAAGGTGATATGCACACTGGACCATTCATCAGCTTTGGTTTGACGTGTGAGGATGAAACCTTTTTAAAATCAGTCTACGGCCAAAACCATTACAGAGCTACTGATGTTACAGAAAGAAACTTAAAGCAAATTTTCTATGAACTTGAACATAAAAAGAAATATAATCATAAGAAAACTAACGATTCTCTTATGGGTAATGTAGTCATGAAGGAAGAGAATCTGGTGATCGATAACACGGGCTTAGACTTTATTCCAAGACAGACAAAGACCTATTTGAAACTTGAAGACAGGATAACCTTAACATCCGCCTCTATGTTACGTATGTTTAAACATAAACAAGAGTATCAAAAATTCTTTGACGTTATTTATTTTGGAAGTAGCTACATTAAGTTTTTTGATGGAGAACTTATTAATAATTTTGCCAAAAAAGGAGCATTTATGCTTATTGAAAATCAGCTATATGTTCCAAGTTGCCGAAAACAGGAACTTAAAAATTTTTCAAAATCAGTTGAAGAAACTCTTAAATGGGTTGAAACTGAATCAATAAAATTTAATTATGAAAAGGACGCTTATGCTAAGATTATCTTGAAATAAAAAGAAATGATAACATTCGTCATACAAAAGTTTTACCATAAGTTTGTATAGTTTTATGGGTATATGCGTGCGTGTGTGTATGTGTAGGACATCGGTTATCTGAATTGCTTTGCTGGTTTTTTTTATTAAAATCTCATAACTCATAACCTTATAACGACATGAATAATAACAGTTGATCCTAGAATCCTTAAATATCTGATTTAGACAATAAAATGTGGTAATCAATATTTTCAAGCGCTTTTTTGAAGTCTTCATAAATAACATAAATAACATCAACTTACCTTGTTTGTTACATAAACTTAGTTATACATACCAGTTTAGTCACATCTAACTTCTTGTTATAAAACCAAATTAATGTAGCATAATACAATGACATACTGAGTTGTAAATCACATTATACAAATATAATGATTTTTAGTAATTTTGTAGATTATTATAATAGTTGGCCCTCAATTCGTCCCTAAACAGGTACTAGAAGAATATCGTAGCCTTAATTTATACCGATGTTAACCCTTTCTCTCCCAATGCCGAATATATATGTTTTTTTAAAAAGTGGGTGTGTAGTCCTAGTCACCGCATATAGACGTTTGAGGTGTTATGTTAAGTTAATTCCATTAGTGGCATGCCCATATTCGTACATTTTTTCTTCCATTTGTTGAGTGCTGCTGTTTTAATTCTGGTTGTTTGTTGGTAGTACAACGTTAATTCTATATTTATATTTGTTTTCCCCAGTGCCTCCCATAATTTATCAAGCGCAACACGATCATTTGCTTTCCTAAGGACTTCTTGGCCACAAGCAACTTATTTTCAATTATCTGAGTAATAAAGAAGACATGGTCTATTGTAAATCAACCTGCACGAAAACCAGCCTGTTCTTTGGCTTCCATATCTTGGTATTCTTCTTCTATTCGATTTTTTATTATTTTCCGATATATTCTGCTAATACTACTAGTAACTGCAATTCCTCTATATTTTTCAGGTTTCGTTTTATCTCCCTTTTTATGGATGGCGCTTATATGCGATGTTTTCCATTCCTTAAGTATTTCATGTTTATTTAGGCATTTCTAGAAAAGTTGTCGTAGCCGTTGAATTAGTATTTTGGGTCCATGTTTGAGATTTAAACAGTACATAAAAACCAAACGCCATCGCTTTGGAATAAAACTTAAATATGTGACTGCGAAACAGGATATGTATTAGGTGTTATTGTCTATATTGTAAAATTGACAGATTTTACTCTGTTCTAAGATCTTGAAATGTCGGGTTTAGTACTAGCAAATGTTATGGAACCATATTTGTATAAAGGCCATAACCTGGACACAGACAACCGATACACTAGCCCTACTTTGTGTACATATCTGCATAAAAATAAGACTAATTCTTGCGGTACATTCCGTGTTATAGAGATGCCAAATTTAACTTAAAAATTTTCTAAAGACGAATCTATCTCAGTGTGTATCGAAAATTTGCTTTGCGTAAAACGGATGGATAGGCGTGATATTATGATGCTGACTACTTTCCATAAAGATCGCATGGTAATGTAAGACAAAGTAGATTTCAAGACTAAAGAACCCATACAAAAACCAGCTGTTGTAGATTACAACGAAAATATGGGTGCAATAGATCGATCAGATAAGATGTTGAGCTCTACGGAATGTGTAAGAAAGGTCACAAAATGGTATAAAAAGCTATTTTTTAACATGGTGGATCTGTCTCTTCTTAACGCTTATGCACTTTATTTGACCCAATCTTCAGAAAAGCTACCTCTTGCACATTATCAACTTACCATTATAGGGGCACTTTTTGATAGGTAAATTTGTAATAATGTTTTTTTTTTGTTGTGCTCATATTTTTTTATCATGTTTTAGACATAAACATAAAAAAAACAGAAGTATAAACTCTTTAATCAAGAATCATTAAGAGGCGACATTTTCCTAGTTCAGTTCCTGATATGAAAGTGAAGCGATACGTCATATGTAATCGCAGAAAAGATCAGAAAAGAAAAAGCGAATCGAGATACATGTGTTCAAGATGGGGGGTCAGCCTTTGCGTAGTAACATGTTTTGAGGAGTACCACACAAAAGAAAACTTTTAATATTAATTTACATTAAATTATTTATTTTGTTAGTTACATTTTTTTATGTTCGTATACTCATTAAAAAATACTCATTAAAAAATATTTTTTGGTCGTTTATTTGTTAATTTATATGGGATCTTATAAGGCAATGGGACTCTTAGCATAAAAAAAATCTTTGGGATTGAGGGACCAACATGCAAATTAAGGCTCGGGATAGAAAGGGCCAATATGGTACTTTAATGAGACCTTTAATGGTACTTTAATTAACTTTAAGAAAGTTTAAATTTATTTTCACATTTACTTTGGAATAACTGCTTTTAAATCAAATATGAAATGCTCTCAAAGTTTTGTGGAAAACCTGTAGGTTTTCTCAAATAGTAGAATCTCAAAAATTCACAAGATATAAAGAGTCAAAAAATGGTTTGAAGTCTGTTGAAGATGCGATTCGCTATTGTAAAGCTAAAATTCAATGCGCAGTGAACTAGAATACCGAAAAACACAATGCGCAGTGAACTAGAATAAACCCTAAAAAAATTTAGAAAACTAAATAGGCTAAATAACTAAATAGTGACTGTTGGTGTTAAACTTAAAGCAACCGGTAACATTTGTGAGAAGCCTTGCAAGGTAATACATTCTGTTGTAAGAAAAAATCCTACCCAGTTAAATACTTTAACAATTAAAGACATTCACTATATTCGTAGCACTATTTATAAACGCAAAAGGAAAACTTTATCAGTTTTACCAAAAAGTAGAATATACTCTATTGCGTCTATAAAAAATGACTATTAGGACAATAAAAGTTGAAACCTTTGTTTTGATTACCTACGACATTGTAAAATAGCCATTTACAGCGGACTTGTCTCTGTATTTTGATGTCTCGGGTGTTGAAGTTGTCAACTCTTACGTTGGTAGTTTGATTCTAATGTAGATTAGATATACTTTTCATATTACGACTTTCAATATTTTTGCTTTTTAATATATCTACAAGCTAATACATGTTCATGAATATCTGGGCCAGCATATTTAATCCGAACAAAGCATCTTTTGCGCCTATACTATTTCTAAAGCGAAATTGTGTGTCACTAATTTCATATTCAGGAGTTTTAACAATTCTGTTGTGTATTAGCTTCAAAAATGTTTTAAGTCTGTGAATCATTAAAGCTATTCTTTTGTAAACTTAGCAGGATATTGCAGTTGACTTTTTGGTATTGCCACAAAGGTCGATTGCAGCTATTTTCTCGGTGTTATTGCAGTTTGATATATTAGAATAAAAAGTTCAACCCTTACATCAATAACATCTTCATCAATAACTTTTAATAATTCGATGGGTACATCATCTGGTCCGGTAGCTTTTCCCTCTTTTTTATTTTTGATGGCATAGATGATTTCTTTCCGTAATATTGATGGTCCGGTATCCTCTGTGGTCTCTAATAATAGTTCTTTTCTTTTATCATTAAATAGCTTTTAAGTGTAATTGGTTTAGTTACTTCATATTAAGACTTATAATGGAAGGGAAAGTGGAAGGAAGAAGAGGTCCAGGAAGAAGAAAATGCTCCTGGTTGAAGAACATAAGAGACTGGACAGGCATGGACACACATGCGATACTAAGAACAGCTCAAGATAGAGAGCAATTTGCTGTAGTTATAGCCAACCTTCAGTAATGGAGAAGGCACCTTAAGAAGAAGAAGACTTCATATTAGAAATAATATCTCTTTTATTATTTTTAAGGATATTCGTTCTTGTACTTTTCTAGAACATGTCATTTACTGATTTTTTTGTGTAAATTAAAGCTATCATACTTTTTATCCAGATCTTCTATTTCCTCTCATCTGTCGGAGAGCCACCTGTCTTTTGCCTCTCGAATTTTATTTTTGATGTGTTTCTAAATTTCTTTATATTTATTCAGGTCTTTTGCCTCATGTTTTCGTCGTTCTTTCATAATTTAAAAAATGTCTACTGTCATCCAAGGTTTTATTTGTTTCCCAAGTGGTTTAAGTGTTTCTTTTCCAACTGACATAAGGACATATTGAATTTGCCCCATTTTTGTTCAATAGTAAGAGTTTCTACATTATCTTCTTTGACTTTTCTTAAGTTCTCGTTTCTTTGACTTTTCTTAAGTTCTCGTTTTTGTTTTATTTCGTTTTCACATATGTTGTCACCTTTAAGCCACTTTGTATCCATAATTGTTTTGGAGCTGGATGCTTAAGATTCTTAAGTTTCACTTTTATCGACAAAACAACCGGATTGTGATAGGAGGATATGTCCGCTCCTGGATAAGTTTTGGATGATATTACAGAATTTCTATATCTTCTGTTGACAATAATAAAATCTATTTGATTTTTGACTATTTTGTTGTTATTGTCTGCTGGTGACCTCCATGTATATAGTCTACGTTTAGGAACTTTGAACAAGGTATTTTTCATTATAAGTTTCTATTAATACACAAATCAACTATCCGATCGCCACGTTCATTTGCTTTTATATTTTATTTATGTATAATAAATATGATTAGTTCATATTTTAGTTTATTTGTTTTAGCCAAGCTCATTTCTTAGATTTACATTTTTGCCAAGACAAGACGTTCTCGCACCTAAGAGGTTATGCTAGACAATTCATAACAAATGGTTCCCAAAGAAAGTTGTGAGTTTTATTGTTTTACATTGGCTACTAACTTTCGGACGTAGTTATATTGTTACCCATTAACATCCGCTGTTTCTCATGGGTCATTCGATGACTACAAAAAAATACTTTGAGCCTGTTATCATTGGTATTTTTCTCGATTTTCCCCTCCTGCTTTTATTATCTGATTTTGGTTTGGCGATAATTTAAATAAGAAATATAAAAGGACAAAACATAAAACAATTCTAATTACTGGATACCTTTATTTATAACAAATTATCAACATGAACTCAAGAAAATTGATATTTTTTCGAAACAATCGGACATTTACCTATTTTTTACTCCACTTTGCAACAGAGTATAGTCTCTTAATAACTTATATAATTTACCATACACTCTGTATATACACTTGCATACTACTTGAACTATGTTCATATGTACTGCGAATAACTCTCCTCTAAAATGAGCATTTAGAATTGTATTGCCGTGGTGGGAGCCTTATATAGGGCTGTTTTGCGACATTCAAATTCAAAAAATATTGTTTAAATAGGAAGATTGAGTTCAAAGAACCAGACAAAAATTTTTTTTAAATTAAACTATAAATAAACCATTACGAATTTTGCAAATA